TTGTATGAGAAAGAAAGGATATAAACATAGTGGTTGTCTAACGAGATACTATTTAGAATAAGATCGTCAGGTGAGTCACATATTGCGCATTTACCGCTTTCGAATTTTTGAAATTGGATTTAGACTTTTTTAGACTTTATCGACTTATTTCATATCATGGTTCAGGCGTTAAAAATCAGTGAGGTTTACTCTTCCTTTTCGATGCCCGTGGAACTACTGTCAATGGTTTACTTCTTGGGAATGTTAAAAAAAAGATTACTACGTGATTTTTTGAATATGCCTATATCTATCGCTTTTGCTTCATTGATTTGATTCTCTCAATAGATACCGAGATTCATATTGGAAATCAAAAATATAGTAATTCAAACTATAAGACATAGGAGTAATTCAGATTGATCAGAACAAATAGATATAGCAAATAAATGGAATTGGATGCTATGTCAATCCCATATATGGAATTGATATTCGCATATATCAAGATAATATTGTAGATTGATATATAGATCCATATCAAATGCAGCCTCTATCTTTATTTTATTCCAGGGGGCAGCTTTATAACAAGAATCTAACTAATAAATAGTATGGTAGAAAGATTCATCTATTTCTTTCTACCATACTATCTATCTATTAGAATACTGCCGATTCTAGTCCACTCATTTCATTTAAGACATGAAATTGGAATCTTTTTCATTTTATTTCGTCAATTTTGGCTAAGAACTCAGAAGTCAAGTTTCATTCAAATTAGTTAATAATTAATCGTTTTGACTGACTGTTTTTACATAAATGATAAGTAGAAAAGCGGTAGGAACTAGAATAAATAGTGCAGTAGCAATAAATGCAAGAATATTTACTTCCATAATCTCATCGGTTTTTTACTTCGCAATAACTCGGGATTTAATCCCATAGAGATGATAAATCTTTGGCCTGTAAATTCAATGAATGAATATTACCTCTCGATGATCTTGAATCAGATCAATATCATGAATAACAATATCTGAACTATCAAATAAATTCGTCGTCGAGAATTGAATAGTATAACATAGGAAGTTCTTTTATCCATACCGCCCCAAACTTGGATTGCTGACCTAACCCAAAATTCCTTTATTTATTTATCATTTTTTATTATCTGTTCTTTTTTTCTCTCTAATCTATCTAGTTCCTTCTTGTACAATCATCTGATGAAGTCTCATCAAATAGCTCTTCCACTTCCAGTGGTCACATAGTTACAAACCCAAACAAACAATAAAAGCTAAATGGAAAAAGAAAGGAGTTTAGAACGAAACTATTTTTGACTTGGAAGACAAAGAAGTGTGATAAAGATGAGACCGTATAAAATGAATATTCATCAAATTTACTATTTTCCGATTTGTTCTTTCGTCGATGGGGCCTTAAAACAAAATGAAAAATAGGAAAAATGATTCATTCGCCTTTCTAAGAGGAGTAGGATCTTTGGTTGATCTGTCCTTCCCCCTCCTTTCTTCGTAGATTATTAGCCCCGGGACACCTATACCAAAAGCTCAGTGTGCAATTTGCATGAAATCTATTTTGCAACTTCAAACTAGTAAGTCAGGTTCCATAAATCCGTAGCCAGAAAAATAAATTGTTTTTTTTTTGTTTTTTCTGGAAAGTATTTTCTTATATTCAATTTTGTATTGGACAAGAAAGGAATTCCTTTTGTGTATGCGCGCCTCAAAAAAGTATAGTACTCGATTCCATTACATGCATCGGGGGCAATCGAAAAAGCCAGCATTTCTTGGAATACTGACTATAATGCTACCAATAATTGTACTAATCCAACCGCATATGTCTTTCTCCTACCAAAAGGAAAGAAAAAAGAAATAAGGATTTCCCCTTTGCTTTGACAATGGAATTCTTCCCCCGGTCCCCTTCAGAAAAAGGGAGAGATTTTTTGATATATTTATTGGATCCGTCGGGACTGACGGGGCTCGAACCCGCAGCTTCCGCCTTGACAGGGCGGTGCTCTGACCAATTGAACTACAATCCCAGGGAAATACGGGATCTAGCAGAAAATTTGATTCTTTTTTATCTCCGGATCGGGTATTTCTGAAGTACAAAGGGAGTTATATCATCTCATGGCGGATTGGCGAATTATTGGGCCGAGCTGGATTTGAACCAGCGTAGACATATTGCCAACGAATTTACAGTCCGTCCCCATTAACCGCTCGGGCATCGACCCAGGAAGAATCAATTTTCGACTTATTGGTAATCCATGATCAATTTCCTTTCGTAGTACCCTACCCCCAGGGGAATTCGAATCCCCGCTGCCTCCTTGAAAGAGAGATGTCCTAAACCACTAGACGATGGGGGCCCGCTTGACCAACGGCCATCATACTATGATCATAGTATGATCCGTTTTTTGAAATTGTCAATATAATCAAATGATTCTAGCCGAGGGATCTTTCCCCCTTTCAGAATTGCATAGAATTGTTTTTTATTCGTCATTGACGAATTATTCATTAGAATCGACATTAGAAATCTA